CAGGCTCAGTGTGACGATACCTTACCTGGGTCCGCCGATCCCGCGCGGCACGACAGCTTCCTCGGCTACTTCCGGGAGGCGGCGCAGCCTCTCGGACGCTGCCCGCTCGCGGCAAAATCCGTTTTATGCGCGCCGACGTCATAATGATTTTGCCGCGAAAATTCAAACGCGGCCACGCTCCCGAACCTTTTGGGGGCGTGGCTTTAAAGTGACACACACATTAGTATAAAAGGGCATTCCTGTCCACCCCTCACTGCCCTAGTGTGGTTCTTTATTGTTCCCCTAGTGCTCTTTTACTGTTTAGCTGTTTTTCTGGTATTTTGACTCTTGGCTTTCGTTCTGACTATTCTCCTATCTGGCTCCCTGACTTTTGGCTTGGCTTTTTCGTATATCCCGATTTCCGTACTCCCTTGACCCTCGGCTTTTTCTTGACTATTCTTTGACGTTAAGACCGGCCACCCTAAGGCCCGGTATACGTCCCTTTCAGGGTTACCATCTGTGTGAAGGGGTCACTACCGTGACACTCAGAAAAGTCAAAAATAGTGAGATATCTTGCAGAGGGATGCAGCACTCTTAAAATTGCAAAGCTTCTGAAGCGTGATCATCGAACAATCAAGCGTTTCATTCAAAATAGTCAACAGGGTCGCAAGAAGCGTGTGGAAAAACCAAAGCGCAAAATAACTGCCCATGAACTGAGAAAAGTCAAGCGTGCAGCTGCCACGATGCCACTTGCCACCAGTTTGGCCATATTTCAGAGCTGCAACATCACTGGAGTGCCCAAAAGCACAAGGTGTGCAATACTCAGAGACATGGCCAAGGTAAGAAAGGCTGAAAGACGACCACCACTGAACAAGACACACAAGCTGAAACGTCAAGACTGGGCCAAGAAATATCTCAAGACTGATTTTTCTAAGGTTTTATGGACTGATGAAATGAGAGTGAGTCTTGATGGGCCAGATGGATGGGCCCGTGGCTGGATTGGTAAAGGGCAGAGAGCTCCAGTCCGACTCAGACGCCAGCAAGGTGGAGGTGGAGTACTGGTTTGGGCTGGTATCATCAAAGATGAGCTTGTGGGGCCTTTTCGGGTTGAGGATGGAGTCAAGCTCAACTCCCAGTCCTACTGCCAGTTCCTGGAAGACACCTTCTTCAAGCAGTGGTACAGGAAGAAGTCTGCATCCTTCAAGAAAAACATGATTTTCATGCAGGACAATGCTCCATCACACGCGTCCAAGTACTCCACAGCGTGGCTGGCAAGAAAGGGTATAAAAGAAGAAAATCTAATGACATGGCCTCCTTGTTCACCTGATCTGAACCCCATTGAGAACCTGTGGTCCATCATCAAATGTGAGATTTACAAGCTGTAATAGGCTCAAAGCCTACTACCAATTAAGTATATTAGGTGATGTGCATCTCTGTAATGAGAAGGTGTGGTCTAATGACATCAAATACCCTATATCAGGTGTGTGCATAATTGTTTGTAGGGTAACTTCCTTTCCTTTGGCAAATGGGTCAAAAGAAAGGACTTGACAGGCTCAGAAAAGTCAGTATTAGTGAGATATCTTGCAGAGGGATGCAGCACTCTTTAAAATTGCAAAGCTTCTGAAGCGCGATCATCGAACAACAATCAAGCTGCCAATCAAAATAGTCAACAGGGTCGCAAGAAGCGCGGTGGAAAACCAAAGGCGCAAAAATAACTGCCCATGAACTGAGAAAAGTCAAGCGCGCAGCCGCCAGCCCATGCCACTTGCCACCAGTTTGGCCATATTTCAGAGCTGCAACATCACTGGAGTGCCCAAAAGCACAAGGTGTGCAATACTCAGAGACATGGCCAAGGTAAGAAAGGCTGAAAGACGACCACCACTGAACAAGACACACAAGCTGAAACGTCAAGACTGGGCCAAGAAATATCTCAAGACTGATTTTTCTAAGGTTTTGTGGACTGATGAAATGAGAGTGAGTCTTGATGGGCCAGATGGATGGGCCCGTGGCTGGATTGGTAAAGGGCAGAGAGCTCCAGTCCGACTCAGACGCCAGCAAGGTGGAGGTGGAGTACTGGTTTGGGCTGGTATCATCAAAGATGAGCTTGTGGGGCCTTTTCGGGTTGAGGATGGAGTCAAGCTCAACTCCCAGTCCTACTGCCAGTTCCTGGAAGACACCTTCTTCAAGCAGTGGTACAGGAAGAAGTCTGCATCCTTCAAGAAAAACATGATTTTCATGCAGGACAATGCTCCATCACACGCGTCCAAGTACTCCACAGCGTGGCTGGCAAGAAAGGGTATAAAAGAAGAAAATCTAATGACATGGCCTCCTTGTTCACCTGATCTGAACCCCATTGAGAACCTGTGGTCCATCATCAAATGTGAGATTTACAAGGAGGGAAAACAGTACACCTCTCTGAACAGTGTCTGGGAGGCTGTGGTTGCTGCTGCACGCAATGTTGATGGTGAACAGATCAAAACACTGACAGAATCCATGGATGGCAGGCTTTTGAGTGTCCTTGCAAAGAAAGGTGGCTATATTGGTCACTGATTTGTTTTTGTTTTGTTTTTGAATGTCAGAAATGTATATTTGTGAATGTTGAGATGTTATATTGGTTTCACTGGTAATAATAAATAATTGAAATGGGTATATATTTGTTTTTTGTTAAGTTGCCTAATAATTATGCACAGTAATAGTCACCTGCACACACAGATATCCCCCTAACATAGCTATAACTAAAAACAAACTAAAAACTACTTCCAAAAATATTCAGCTTTGATATTAATGAGTTTTTTGGGTTCATTGAGAACATGGTTGTTGTTCAATAATAAAATTAATCCTCAAAAATACAACTTGCCTAATAATTCTGCACTCCCTGTATACACATAGTAAATATGGAGGGGCTGGTGCAGACAAGTTTTCCAACACTTTGGACAACCAGAGATCAGCATGACCCCCTCCATGCAAGGTAACAACAGGGAAGGGTGATATATATATATATATATATATATTTTTTTTTTTTTTTAATGTATAATTATTAAGTTAATAAAGCCATCATACAAACACTTCACTCCTATACATACTACATATGGATGAGCAGATGCAACCAGGGAGAGGCACTGTGAAGATTTTTAGCACAGGGCGCTTAAAGGCCTAAGGCCGGCCCTGGGTAGCTAGTACCCCACCAGTGTACCAGAACTGAAACAATTTTGGGCACTCACCATGCTTATGGGCATAATTAAAAAGCCTAACATCAGGATGTAGACAAAAGGATGAAAAAAGGATCAGTGATAATACACCAAACTAAAAGATATATATAAAAATTAGAGTAGGCGACACACCTTAAAACATAAGGCTCCCTCTAAGCCTTATAAACAACAGGGATAATTCAAACAGGGGGATAAAGGTAGCAACAGAAATTGTATAAAACAGAGGTGTGTTATAACATATATATTGAAAAAAAAGATATATATATATATATATAAAACACCTTATATATAAGAGGACAAACAAAAAAGCAAAAGAAAGCTCAAATATAAGTCCAAGTGTGAATCCAAATGTAAAAACTTGCTGGAAGATAAAACTTCTGGAATGGGATCAGATCAGTGTGTTCTTGGCAGCCATATATGTAACAGAAAGATAGAACTAATGGTGCAGAATATCCCAGAATAACATAAAAGTAAATAAAATGATAGAAAATGATAGAGCTTAACCTAGCGCAAGTATGAATGGCGTACAGTGGTACAATCCCCACTTAAAGGAATACGTAGGAGGATGTAGGTAGGCAGATGTATCATCGGTATGAAGATCATAAAAAATATAAAAGATACAAAAACAACTTTAGCTTAATTAAGAACTTTGGTAAAAAAAACCTCTCACTTAGAAACTAAGTCATGCTTACTTAAAAGGGTACTTTAGGTACCAAAACAACTTTAGCTTAATTAAGCATTTTGGTGTATAGATCATGTCTCAATTCTCTGCCATTTAGGCATTCAGTTTATGCAGCCCTAGCCACACACAGGAGGCTCTAGCACTTTGGTTCCCAACCCATTCCTCAAGTACCCCCTACAAGTTCAAGATTTAGGGATTTCCCAATTGTGTTTAAGGTCACAGTGTTTTTAGAAAAAGAAAAAAAAAACACTTTAGACACAACTGGGTAAACCCTAAATCATGGACTGGTAGGGAACCCTTGCTCTAGCAGGCCATTAACAGGGTAGAAGATACGATCTAAATTAAATGGGCTGTGTAATAAATAAAGTTTAAACATTAAATCCCTCTATACAGGAAGTGTGTAGGGAGGCTATGTAAGTTACAAGCAGAGGTACGTAATTGAGAAGCTGAAGTGCAGGATCATTATCCATACAACACTAATGAGATATTTTAAATAAATACATAAATAACAAATATTCGTATACATAAAAAACATAAATAATGTTCAAAACATAAACAACTGAACATTCTATTCCTAAAAAATACAACATTCTATAACTTCAAAGGACAATAACCACAAAGGATAATGCACTACGGATTCAGCAAGTATTTTATAAGTTCACTGGTTTCTGCAACTCTGTAAATTACATCATCAGAATCAAGGTTCATTAATATATCTTTTTCAGTTGCCATCAGCATCAAAGAGCTCCAATGCTCCTGACATTAGCATTGAGAAAGGGCTGCTGCCTGAAACGTTTTCTGCTTTAACTTTGTCCTCAAATAAATTGTGGTAGCACCTGGGGGTGCACACCTATACTGGATGCGCAGGACTCTTGTTTGTTTTTGGTGGTATATACACTGTTTGGACTTCAGTGTTGAGTATCTGCAGCACAGGTCTAATTTTCTTTCATTATACTTTGAATTTTGTAGTCATTTTTTGCCTCTACCTCACCCTATATATATACTGAGATAGAGAACTTCTTAGATGGGTCTTAATAAACTTCAATGTGGAGAAGCTTATTTCACAGGCAACTTGAGTGGAAGACAGTGTAAGCAGAAATTTGTAGGCTACACCAATGACATTGTAGGCATCAGTCAATAATTTCTAGCGTTGTAGAATCTGATAGCACCAAATAGCAGTTCTTACATGCCTTGCAAGACTTGTTCACCAATTCTGTATCTGCTAAATTACTTTCCTGGTCTTCTATATGTATATCTTCTATAGTCCTATATTCTTCTAGGTGTGATGTCTCCCAACGCAATGCAAAATTTGCCAGTTGGGAATGCAAATTTTCTGATGTTGCTCCCTCATCAAATTTAACTAACAGTAGGCTAAATTCTTGAAGTCCACATTTTTTTATTTCATGAAAGTTGTTTGGCTCTGAGCATGCCAAGTCAGCAAAGAGGGTTCCACAGGCGAGAAAGCGTCGACTTATACTCTCTGTGACCATATCCAATATGACGTTGTGAACATTTATCTTGTATGCTGAAATAGCATCACAAACAACTACATCTTCCGCAGAATCGGAATTTGAAAATTCCCCAAACACTTTTCTTATCGCAGCATCTTTTGACCACCAGCGAGTTTCTCCAATTACTGAAATTCTCCAATGGTGATGGTCTTGACTAACTTCTTCCCAGTTATTCATACGCTTGTAAGAATCATGAATAAACACTGCAATGTCATACAACAAACTAAATAGTGATGCACTTGCAACCACTACTTTCGTAGTATCTGCAAGTACCAAATTCAGAATGTGTGCATAGCACCAGATGTGATCTTGCCCTGGTGATTCAGGTGACATCCATGAAGAGAAACCATTATATTGACCTGGCATATTTGCCGCTCCATCCATTGAACTGCCAATGCATTTTGTGATATCAAGTTTGCATGATTTTAAGACTTCCAATACCAATTTAAATAGATTTTGTCCCGTTGAAGATTTACATTCAACAACTGCAAGTAGCTTCTCCTTGATGCATTCCTTCACATAACGAACAATTACTGAGCATTGATCTTTGGAGGTGATATCTTGAGTAGTAACAACATGAATCAAAAACATGCCAGCTTCCCTTACTTGATTGGATATAGTTTCCTGGATGAACAGTCGGATATTTTCTAATACTTTGTTAACAGTTGTTTTCGAGAGCAGGGTTACCAACCTCTCCCTTTCCCTCTGGAGAACTTCAATTTTTTACTATTTGTTGACGTGATCTTTTAGACAAATGTCAAATTTACTAAGAAGAAGAATGACGTCTAAAAAAATTTCCATGGTCTTTCGTAATGTCCTCTAAATTGAATGCAGCCTCATCTTTATCTCCCCTATAACTCAACCCTTGCTTTCCTATCACTTTTACAACGTCTACTACCCTATGCATTACTTGCCGCCTGTTTCTGACTTGCTCGCACCTTACAGACATTTGTTTAAACAAAAGTAGATCATCGACACCAGCACTGCTGGATTTCAGAAAAAAAGCTTCAGCACACACATTATGCATTGCACTCTTCTCATGCTCTTCAATCCTTTGATGAACATGGTGCTTATCGGTCTTTCCTTCAATGAAAGAGTTCGTTCCTGTGACTTTGAAAAAGCCAGACAAAAAGAGCAAACCATGGCTTTCTTTATATTACAGTACGAGAGACATTTTTGACTTGTTCCATCTTTGCTCTTTACAGATTTTAAAATACTGGATCTGGAATTTCCTGCTGTGGATGGTATTTGAAAAAAACAGCAAGTTGATTTCTATTTGGACGAGCAAAATAATTGAATGATGGATATATGACTTCAGTTTGGCACTGTGAAATATCTGCAATCACTTGTTCCGTTGGGGATTCAGGTTGCCCCAGATCTCCATGTTCTTCAGTGGATAATTCTGCTGTTTCCTCAACACAATTATCTTCTACTATTTGTTCAGTGTTTGCTGCCTCTCTATTAGTTCCTGCTATGGAATCACTGGTACTCTGTGCATGAGGACTGGACTGAACATATCCTTAATCTTAGCACATTTCTGAGCATCGAGTTTCAAACACTTTTAAAATTTCTCTCTGATTTTTTCTGCTCCTCCCTTTTGTTTTTTTGAAGACATTTTTTTTTTTAATCTAAGTAAAATAAATAAAAAACAACAAACCAGAATCTCTGGTGTTCTCCAAACATTGTTTTACGACTGATTAGTTTGATTTTACCTATCTTATGATTTGTTTAAATGTATACAATAGTGCTAGGAATACAAAGTTGTATTCCTAGCACTATAGTTTCGTCTGGACCCCACTGCATTAAAAGCATTAAAAAAAAACCTTTATTCACTATCCTGATTCCAGCCCCAATCTCCCTCGGTGCTCCGCCTCTTCCAAGGCGGGAGACCTAATGTGCATGCGAGCACAAAAGGTCCTCCCCAGAGGAAAGCATTCATTCAGTGCTTTCCTATGGGGATTTCACTGAAGCTGGATGTCCTAATGCAGAGCATTAAGGACACCCAGCGTCAGTTAGGTGACCAAAAGTTGCCTAGCCACGAGGAAGCACCTTTAGTGGCTGACTGGCAGAAACATTGCAGGAACACTGCACCCAGACAACTTCAATAAACTGAAGTGGTCTGGGTGCCTATAGCATCTCTTTAAATAGTTTACTCATAGCATATTTGTTTAGACGAGGCCTGTAGCTCCTGCTGGAAAGTCCACTTGGTAGTCATGAAACTATAAACTTTTATTATCCAGATACATAATTTGTAACTATAGTGTTTACTCTTATATTCTGTCTGGTTATCTATTCATAGCTCTATTTTAAATACTGCAGCACTAAACACCAGGAAACCTAAATAAGTGTTTAAAAGCAAAGTGAGAATTTATGTCTCACACACTTTAAAATTCCTTAAAAAATTACACAAAACTTTTGGCCTAGATTTTAAAAATTCCCTTCAAATTCCCAACAATTCCCTCTTTAGTCAGATTCTGTTCTCACAGTGGAAGCGCCTCTAGTGGCTGTCAATATGATAGCCACTATAAGGCATGTTTAACACCATAATGTAAACATTGCTGTATCTACAAAAAGACAATGGTTTTCTTACCCTACAATTTCTTTACACGTTTACACAGCCAGATTAGCAGTAGATCAGATACCATGCACATGGTTTTACCTTGCTGAACTAAGACAACATGGGCAATACATCCAAATCATCTCAATGAGGTCTGGGTGCCATGTCCCTGTATTTTTCAACCTGCATCTGAAAACATTGCAATTTTGTTTTTCATTACAGGGTTAACCCCCTCCGAGTGGCTGTCTTTCACACAGCTACAGCCGCAGCTATAAACAAGTTAAACTCATTTCTAGCACAAATGGCTCTTCTAGAGGGTATTTGATTGCCGCAGTGCTGCATTTTTCCACCCAACTACTACCCTCAGCCAATAAAAGCAGGCAATACTTAATGTTTTAACCCTAGCATGGAAAAGACAGCTATATATGTAAGGGAGACACTATAGCATTAGGAATGTATGTTTGCATTGCTAATGCTATAGTGTTCCTTTAATTCAACAAATAAATAAAAAACTAAACACAAAACATTCCGTATCAAATATACACTTGAAGGCTACTTAAAATAACCCATCTTAGCAAACACATATGGGGATTCAGTTACACCATATAGCCATATCATGCAAAACGCCCACTACTCTTGGGCAGCAGCAATAACTAAATACATCAGCCCCAACACATACAATAAAAAACAAAAAAGAATATACTAAATCAACAGAAAAAGATGAGTGGGTGGAGCCAGCTATGTGGAAAAAATGCAGGCAAGCCACTGTCTAGAGGTCACTCCCAACCTCAATATAACAGAAGACACAACTGAATATAATCAGATAACAGGGCGCCACAATCACTTTGGTTGCCAACGAGATTTCCAAAAAGAGGAAACAGTCAATAAAAAAATGTAACATCCAATTCATGGAGATAAAAACTAAATATAGGCAATAGCACAATATATGTGCAAAAATAGCAAAGAAAAAACCCTTAGGAAGAGCAGCTTAATAAAACATGATTATGGTATAAAGTGCATGTGCTATAGTGCAATGAGAAAAAGTGCAGGGTGCTTGTCAAGCAGCTCAAGTTAGCAGCTACCTCCAACTACTCTTTAACAGATTGTAATAAAAGCACAATAAGCACATATCTCAAAAACTATACACAAATATACACGAAAAAAACATGTTAAAAAGACTACTTATACCAAATGATAGGGTTCTTGCTGGGGCTCTATGTGTCTTTCGTTGATCAGAAGTCCTCAGTTAACCTCCAGTTATTTAAATGTGCATAGGATATTAAGGATAGTGCGCAAGTAACATTTTTCTTTGGTGTTTATTGTACCATGGCCATATTGTGTTGAGCCCACCACCACGTCAGGTTAGCCCAATATCAGTGGGTCCTACACTAAGGATAAACTAAATGCAAATTTATGCTTTTGTGTGGTCACTACCAAAGGGACACATATAGTGGAGGGGCGGGTGCTAAACCCAAAATAAATCTGGTCTGGATTCTAAATATACATTAGAAAGGGGAATTGGTAGCATACCCAGGATATGAGCGAAGCATGAATATTTTGGTTTTTGGTTTTAGCACTGCAACTGAGAAATGCATGGTCTGTATGTGCCCCCAATTCCCAATTGTTTCTCTCTCCTTTTTTTTAACTCCCCTGTTAAGCTACACAGTGAGGGTGGCATAAAAAGGGCAAAATGGAATATCACTAACTTTGCAACTCTTTTTGTGTACCTCCTGGTTGGGCACAGTGCTGTGTAAGACAGGTCAAGTCTTGGGGTCCACGTGACAGCCTCCCTCTGTATATTTCCTTTGCAGCTGCGTTGCTGGTGGCAAGTTTAACAGACTAGTGTGGCTGATGGATTAAGGCAGACCACTGGCCAGAAGTTGGTTGGTCCACTGCTCATGTCGGGGTCTCCGTCTCTCGGCTTGGCTGTAGTCTTTTGGGTCTGGACTCTTCCCCCTTTGGGCCTGAGCTGTGGTCCCCTTGGGTCTGGGCTGTGGCTCCCTTGGACCTTTGCTGTGGCACCCTTGTACCTGGGCTGTGGCCCCTTTGAGCCTTTGCTGTGGCCTCCCTGGTCCTGGCCTGTGTGGCCCCATTGGGCCTGGGCTGTATGGCTCTTTTGGGCATGGGCTGTGTGGCCTCCTTGGGCCTGGCTGTGGCCCCTTTGGATCCCTTGTCTGTGGCCTACTTAGGCCTTTATTGTGGCTCCTTGGGCCTTGGCTGTCACCCCTTGGATCCCTTTTCAGTGATCTCCTTAGGCCTTTATTGTGGCCCCTGAGTCTGTGCCTTTTAGGCCTTTTAAGTGGCCACAGCAGCTTGGGTCTTTGAAGTGGCCCTGTCCTTGGGACATTGAAGTGCCCCCCTCCTTGGGAATTTGAAATGGCCTCCTCCTTGGGAGTTTGAAGTGGCCCCTCCTTGGGACTTTAATGTGGCCTCCTACTTGAGAGTTTTTAAGTGGCCCCCTCCTTGGGAGTTTGAAGTTGCGCCCTTCCCCTTGGGAGTTTGAAGTGGTCCCCTTCCCCTTGGGACTTTAAAGTGGCCCTCTCGGCCAGGACTTTGCTGCCCCACCTTCATTTGCTGAGGTCGTTCGGGATTTGGCTCTCCCTCCCTCTTGCCTGTCAGAACTTAACTATCGGCTTCTACGATAATCCGACACTTCCGGGTTCACGGACCAATGACACGCCCCCTTCTCTGATGTGGGTTCCTCACGCTACTTAGAGGAACCGCGCCAAATTTAAAATGCTTTGTTATTTTGAAGCTTCCTGAACTTCTGACTGGCTACAAACAATCTCTCGCTAAACTTCTGAACCTGTACCGAACCTGGACTGTTTATTGCGTGGATCTCCATCCTCCTTCTATTGAACTTAGATTGCCTTTGGAATACATACTGCTTTGTAAATCCTTCCAAGTAACGGCAAGTTATAGATTTGGATTAATCCTCCTACTGGCACTTTAATACTTATTGTTTAATTATTTTCCTTAGTTCAATTAGTGGACAAGCTATCTACATAGTGTATTCCATAAAGCTACATGAACT